ACCGGAATTGTTTCAAATTTGGTATTTGAAATTCGTAATGGATACTACAGCCTATGACAGGAAATTGTCTGTGCAGGTCCACGTCTTCGTATAGCCCTCATATAAGGGTACCTTTCTATTTTCGGTATTTTGGTGATTTTAGCGACATTATTCACCGGATTTGTTTCAAATTTGATATTTGAAGATCGTTATGGATACTACAGCCAAAAACAGAAAATTATCCGTGCAGGTCCACCTCTTCGTATAACCCCCACATAACAGTACCTCCCGATATTCGGTATTTTGATGATATTAGCGACATTATTCACCGGAATTGTTTCAAATTTGATACTTGAATTTCGTAATGGATACTACAGCCTAAGACCGAAAATTTTCTCTACAGGTTCACGTCTTCCTATAGCTATACCTAAATTATTCATCGATTTTTTTTTCAAGTTTAGCATTTGGATATTGTAGTGGCTTATGACAAAAGTTGCCTATGCAGGTCCACGTCGTCGTATATACCCTAACATAACGGCTACATTCGGTAGTTTTAAGATTTTGACAGAATTTTTAATGTTTTTTTTTTTTTTTGTTTTGAAAATTGGCAAATTCGTTGCACATGGTTGAGGGTATTCCAAGTTCGGACCGGCCGAACTTATAGCTTTTTTACTAGTTTTTTTTCCTCCAACACATTTATATCATTAAGTATGCTACAAAAAATGTTATCAAATTCAAAGTGGAAACATAACTAACAAAAACGACAGTAGAAATGTAACCCACCTAACGCCTAAAGGTATGCAACAATTCAAAAAAAAACATCCCAAATTAAAAAAAGAAAATCTTTTTTTTTACATTTTTGGCTTAATCATAAAAGTGATAAACAGGGAAAACAAGCAAAAGAGAATATGGAAATTCAGAAAAGTATATTTTTTTAAATCTTCAACCAAAATAATTACCAAAAAAATATCAAACATCATAAAAGCATGCCTCAAAAATTAAAAATTAACTAATTTCTGACGAAAAATAAAAAAACACAAAAAGACTATGGAAACCAAACATTTTCACCTAAAACTGTCTGTAATATTGAAAAAAATTAAATTAAATAAATATAAATTTAAAATTAAAATAAATAACAAAATAAAAATAACTATAAATTAAAATACAAAGGAAAAAAACTGTCAAGCATCCAAAAAGCATTAAAAAATAATTTAGTAAAATTAAAACCACGGCGAAAAAAAAACTATGGAAACAAAACATTTTCGCCTCACAATGTGATATAATATTTTCAAAATTAATAAAATTGAAAAAAAAACAAGTAAAAAAGCAGTAAGTTCGGTCAGGCCGAACTTTGAATACCCTCCACCATTTAAAACGAATTAGGAAATTTTCAAAAAAATAAAATTCATTAAAAATTTTGTTAAAATCTTAAAAGTACCGAATATTGGAGGGATATACGATATTGTGGACCTATATAGACAAATCTATGTCTGGGGGTACAGTACTCACAAAGAACTCCTTGTGTAGAATTCCAGGCAATTCCGTTGAAAAATGTGGCTAAAATCATCAAAATCCCGAAAATGGGGGGGGGGGGGGGGTACCGGTATATGGGGGCCATACGATATCGTGGACCTATATAGATAATTATCTTCCAGGGGATGAAGTACTCACAAAAAAAAATCTTTGTGTGGAATTTCAGATAATTCCATTGCAAAAATGTGGCTAAAATCATGAAAATACTGAATATCGGGAGGTACCGTTATATGGGGGCTATACGATATCGTGGACCGATATAGTCCATCTTCGAACTTGACCTGTCTGCAGACAAAAGACAGATCTGTGGAAAATTTTAGCTTCCTTTCTTAATACGTTTTGAATGTAGCGTGATTACAACAGACGGACGAACGGACGGACAGGACTAAATCGATCAAGAATATATGTACTCTGTTGGGTCTAAAATTATTATTTCGATGAGTTACAAACGAAATAACGAACTTAATATACCCTCCATACTATTGTGAATAAAATTGATAAATATAACCAAGGGAAATATAGGAAAATACCAAACATTCTATAAGTATTTCGCCTTCCGATTTAACGAACCGTCGCTATAATGAATTCGGGATTTAACGAACTTTTAAAAAATTTATATTGAGTATCTTATATTACGAACGCTGTCAAACATTTATACACGATATAACGAACTGTCACAATATCCAATCAAATTAGCTGAAATTTAACAATTGGGGTTATACGCAGGTCTGTTCTCTTCTTGCAAACATTTTTCGATTCAGGTCCACTAATTGTGTAGCCACCATTTTGAAGGTTTCTGCCACAATTTCCAACCAAATTAGCTGAAACTTGACAATTGGGGTTCTCGGTAGGTAAGTTCTTTCATTGCAAAAAATATTCGCTGCAGGCCCACTAATTGGTATAGACCCCATATAAGGGTACCTCCAGATTTCCGGTATTTAGAAGGTTTCTGCCACAATTTCCAACCAAATAAGCTGAAACTTTATATTTGGGGTTCTAGGTAGGTTAGTTCTCTCCCTGAAAAAAATATTCTCTGCAGGCCCACTAATTGGTATGGACCCTCCCCCCCCATATAAGGGTACCTCCAGATTTCCGGTATTTAGAAGGTTTCTGCCACAATTTCCAACCAAATAAGCTGAAACTTGACAATTGGAGTTCTCGGTAGGTCAGTTCTTTCATTGCAAAAAATATTTGCTGCAGGCCCACTAATTGGTATTGGCCCCTTATAAGGGTACCTCCCGATTTTCAGGATTTTGAAGGTTTTGGCCAAAATTTCTCAGTAGGGCTTCTCAGTAGGTCTATTTTCTCCCTGCAAAAAATGTTGGATTCAGGTCCACTCATTTGTTCGGCCCTCCATAAAATGGTACCTTCTGAGTTTTTGGTATTTTTTGAGGTTTCTGCCACAATTTCCAACCAAATTTCGCTATATCCTAATATTATATGATATTTATTTTTTTTTTCCTTTTATATTCCATAATTCTTTTTCAGAAAAAAATTATTTGAATCGCCTTAAAGTATGCTATACAAATGATTAACAACAATATAGAGAGAGCAGTTTTACATTAGGATTGTAACATTATGTGTATACCAGCCTTAAGACAGATATCTAACATCCAATAGGTATGCTTCCAATTATAATAATGTGGAAAGGAAAAAAGCGTGTTGCTAAAATGATTAGCACAAAATAGTGAAAACATATCCCCCCTACATCCCACCCCTCCAAAATAATAAAATGATTACATTAATTGTCACGAAAGTCACCAGGGAATAGAAAACAATTGTTTCAGATATTTACCATTTAATTCGACACGAAGGTAGCTATTCTGCTTGAAAGGTCGGTCACAAAGTCAATGGACTTTTGGACAATAAATGTCAATAGAAAAAAACAACATTTGCCACTTGACAACAACAATAGAATAGTGGGAAGTAACTTAAACTATTATTTTATTCCAAATTTGCCATACGCAGATTATTTATCTACCCTTCGGCCATAGAAGACCTGGAGGTCTTCTATTGGCTATAGAAGACCTGAAGATCTTATATTGGCTATAGAAGACCTGGGAATCTACTATCGGTTCTGAAAGTCTTCTATTGCCTATAGAAGACCTAGGTATCTTCTACCGGCTACATAAAATCTTGAGGTCTTCTATTGGCTATAGAAGGCCTGGAGATCTTCTGTTGGCTATAGAAAACCTGAAGAAATTCTATTGGCTATTGAAGACCTGGAGATCCTCTATTGGCTATTGAAGACCTGGAAGTTTTCTATCGTCTATAGAAGACGGTAGGTCTTCCATCGGCTATAGATAGAAAACTTCCAGGTCTTCAATAGCCAATAGAGGAATCCAAATCTTCCATTGGCTATATATAAGAATATAGAGGATAGGAGGAGAAGTTCCATCGGTTATAGGAGACCTGTAGGGGTTCTATCGGCTGTGGAAGACTTGGAGGTCTTCTATTGGCTATAGAAGACTTGGGGGTCTTCTATCGGCTATAGACAAGCTGAAGGTCTTCCATCGGCTATAGAGGACCTGAAGGTCTTCTATTGACTACAGAAGACCTGTAGGTATTCCATCGGATATAGAAGAACTTTAGAGGTCTTCTATCGGTAATGGAAGACCTGGAAAATTCGCAATTGGCTATTGAAGACCTGGAAGATTTCTATTGACTATAGAAGACCAGGAGGTCCTCCATCGGCTATAGAAGGCCTGTAGGTCTTCCATCGGCTATAGAAGACGCGGAGGGTTTTCAACGGCTATAGAAGACTTCCAAGCCTAAGAAAGACCTGTAGGAATTCCATCGGCTATAGGAGACCTGTAGGTCTTCTATCAGCGATCTATTGTCTGTAGAAGACCTCTAGGTCTTCTATCGGCAATGGAAGACCTGGAAATCCTCTATTGGCTATTGAAGACCTGGACGTTTTCTATCGGCTATAGAAGACCAGGAGGTCCTCCATCGGCTATAGAAGGCCTGTATGTCTTCCATCGGCTATAGAAGGCCTGTAGGTCTTCCATCGGCTATAGAAGACCCGGAGGCTTTCCATCGGCTATAGAAGGCCTGTAGGTCTTCCATCGGCTATAGAAGACCCGGAGGTTTTCCATCGGCTATAGGAGACCTGTAGGTCTTCTATCGGCTATGGAAGACTTGGAGGTCGTCTATCGCCTATAGACAAGCTGAAGGTCTTCCATCGGCTACAGAAGACCTGAAGGTCTTCTATTGGCTACAGAAGCCCTGTAGGTATTCCATCTAAAGATCTTCTATCGGATATAGAAGACTTAGAGGACTTCTATCGGCGATAGAAGACCAGGTGGGTTTCTATTTAGAAGACCTAAACGTTTTCTATCGACTATAGAAAACTTGGAAGACTTCCATCGGCTATAGAAGGCCTTCCTGTAGGTATTCCATCGGATATGGAAGACCTATATGTATTCTATAGCCGATGAGCGATAGAAAATCTTCAGGTCTTTATAGCCGATGAAAGACCTAGATGTCTTCTATAGTCAATAGATCGCCGATAGAAGATCTATAGGTCTTCTATATCCGATGGTATATCTACAGGTCTTCTGTAGGCAATAGAAGACCTCCAGGACTTTTATAGCTGATGGAAGGCCTTCAGCTAGAAGATCTGGAGGTTTTTGTATTTGGCTATAGAAGACCTGCAGGTTTTTCATCGGCTTTACAAGACCCGTAGGGCTTCCAATGGCATTTAAAGACCTCTAGGTCGGCCGAAAACTACCTAGAATTCTTCTATTGTCTAGACCTAAAGTTTTTCGAATATTTTTAAAGGTGCTTTTAGACAAAAAAAAATACGTTGCTCCTCATATAAATATGTGATTGGTAAAGGCAAGAACCTTAAAGTATGCTATATAATATGAAATTATTAATAATGCAAATGACAACAACATCCTAAAAGTATGCCATAAAATATCAAATCTACAATAACAAAAGAAAAATGCATTTTAATGAACTGTTGGTGCAAAATATAAAAACAACAACAACAACAAGTCGCCATAGCAAAAGGAACGAAAGACAAGTTAACATCAAAACGAAACCAACCAAACAATGTTAATTGAATTTTTTTATCGGCCCCGCAACAGCTACAACATATCAATAAAACAAACACTTTGATTTTTTTAAATTATTACAAAACAAGAACAACAACAACATCGATAGAAAAAGCTAACAAAGAAGGACAAATCAAAAAGCCACTGCAAATTCCTAAAACAAGAAGTCGGACATGTCACTTAAAGGATATGCCATAATGGCAGCCATCAGTGCTCACAATCGCCGCAACAATGGCAACAACAGTAACAACCACACTGAGAGCAACAGCATCACCGCCACTGCTGCAGATGCTGCTGCCACAACTACCCCAAGTGCAATTAAAACCACCGGCATTGCCATGGACACTGGCTCCTCGGCAGAAAACGCGAATAACAACTACAAATCAACAACTTCACCTCCAACGGACAACAGGCTGGCAACGACAGCCTACTATGCACGAAAAACGTCAAACCTTGAGTCAACAGCCACTACACCACTGAATCCCTACAGCAGGCGTCGTGTGCCAAACGATGACAGCTCCAGGACCCCAAATACTTTAAAGGATGAAGTCCAGCATCATCATTCCCATCATCATCATCGTCTAGAGTCGCATCAGCTTTCACCTCATCATCGCCATCACAAAATCCCGGCAACAGATAGCCATGAAAATGCAAATAACGAAGACAACGATAGCTATGAAGAAGAGTCGGAGGATGATGAGACTGAAGATGAGGCGGACACCTCGGCTCATGATGGCCAGGATGATATGGCCACCAGACAACGACCCATAAACACATTCTATGGCAGCGGTTTTGGCATCTTTCATCAACAACGTTCCAATGTGGCTGGTGGTGGAGGCGGCGGCGGCGGAGGCATTGCCCTTATAACTGGCCACAGTGGATCGAGCAGCAGCTATTCGAACGGCATAAATAACAATGTCAATCTGCTGTTGGGAGGGTAAGTTGACTTTTGTCGAATTGGAAGTTATATATTAATTTTGTTTGGTTTTCTGTTTTTTTTTTCCTCTCTGAGAGATGGAGATAGGATAGGTTAACAATTTATGTTTTTCAATTTAAGGACTTCTTCGGTTCTGAAGGGTGGGGAAAAGGGTTGTGAAATCTATTAAAAACACAATTACTAACAGAGCGAGATTAAAATTTCAATATTGCAGAAATTTTATATGTTCTTAGGGTTTCTATAACCGAGCAAATATGGATATTCAGGGTGAGATAAAAAAAATCTGCAACAAAGACAAAAGCCATTATTTTTACATTTTTTTTTCTAATTTTATTAAATGAAAGCAAAAAATGTCGGAAATGGAATCAAATTTTAGAATAAGTTTAGATTTGTTAGAATTGGTCACCTTTGGCTCGAATTACGGTCTTCAAACGGCCAATGAAACCGTCACAAGCTGCCCGATTGTGGCTCTGTGATATTTTTGCCCATTCCCGACGAAGCGACGCGCTTGCTTGAGGTGATCGACACTTTGGTATTTTTTTGTGCCAACCTTGCTTTCCAAAATACTCCAGGCACAATAGTCAAATGGATTGCTATCCGGAGATTTTTGTGACCATTGTGCGCTGGAAATGAAGCGAGAAATCTCATTATGTTACCATTCTTGGGTGGCGCGTGCTGAGTGCAATGGTGCTGAGTCCTGTTGGAATGGGTGCCTGCCCAAGGCTTTAATACACCCTCAAGAATATTTTCGCGATAATATTCGGCATTTATTTTGATGCCACGGTCGATTAATACGAGCGGAGAGCGATCGTCGGCTGTTATGACCGCCCACACCATCACCGACCCACACCTGCGCTTGAGTTCTGGTGGCACATTTTCAGCTGACCTCTTTGCCAAGTAAACACGATCCTTTTTGTTTGTTTACAAACTGCTGGACAACGAATGTTTTCTCATCGGAGCGGAGAAAACCAAATTCGGCAGTTCACCACTTTCGGCCAAGCCAAGCAGCTTTTTAGCTCTTTTCAGTCTATTTTCTTTCTGTTGCGGTGTAAGTTCTTGCATTTTTTGGAATTTTAATGGCTTTACCCCGAGCTCATTTTTTTCAATATTTGCCGAATGGGATATTGCGATATGTTCAGATCACGAGCCATTTTTCGGCCACTGTGACACGGGTTTCGATCAAGTGGCTTCTTTACTTTTCGAAACATTTCTGCTGATGTTGCTGTTTCTGATTTTCTTCCATCCACTTTCTTGAAGTCGGGCTACGCTACCAGTATCACGGTAGCGAATAACTTTTTCTGTGGAAATTTCCCACCATAATGCTTTTGTACGCTTGTAAACAATAAAATGAGCTGTCACTGGAAAATTTTTTACAGCTGTCGGACGAGTGCCTTTGAAATTACAGCAGTATGAACGTACTCCATAGAGGTTCAACAAATTGAATGATCATAAGAGAAGTCATAATATATATTTAAATAATCGAACATTGGCTGAGGGTATACATCTGGCGGCTGATATTCAATATCTTGAATTCTATGTGGGGGAGGTACTAGAAGAAAGGGTCCGATCTCTACCATCTTTATAACAGAATCTGTGTTGACGGAAATATTGAGATGTACCAAGTCTGAATTGAATCGTATGTTAATTTCGAGTTTTATGTTCTTCATGGATATTCAAAATTTTGACCCTTTGTGGGGGAGGTACCAAAAGGAGTGGACCGATATTTTCCATCTTCACATATTGTGATGTGTGTCTAATTTGAAGAAAATCGAACACTCACATTAAATTTTTTAAGAGTTATAATTATTCAATATTTTGACCCTTCGTGGTGGAGGTACTTAATGGAGTGGACTGATATTGTCCGTTTACGCACCTAAACTAGCACCGATGAAAATATTATGATTCGCAAAGTTGGGGCAAGGTCGAATTATCTTTTCACTTTCTGTGTAGTAAAGTATTTTCTTTGAAAATGTTGACATTTTGTGGGGGGGGAGGGGGTGGTACCAGAAGGATTGGACCGATATTGCCTATCTCCGAACTCGGTCTAAGTTTGACAATAATATTACGATGTACCAAATTTGGATCAAATCGGGTACTCCCTTCGAGATTTATTGTGCGCTCCAGCCAGGATTTGGCGGAACGGATTTGGTCCAAAGAGACCTGGGGTCTAAAAGCGTTAGGCACGTTTTGCCCGTATTTAATGATATATGCCCTCTCTAGCCATATGGCCGACCTGAGTTGACGGAAATATTTAGATGTACTAAGTCTGAATTGAATCGTATGCTAATTTCGAGTTTTATCTTCTTCATGGATATTCAAAATTTTGACCCTTTGTGTGGGAGGTACCAAAAGGAATGGACCGATATTTTCCATCTTACACCAGACCTTAGGTTAATAAAAATATTGTGATATGTGTAAATCGAACACTCACATTACATTTTTTAAGAGTTATAATTATTCAATATTTTGACCCTTCGTGGTGGAGGTACTTTACGCACCTGAACTAGCACCGATAAAAATATTAGGATTCGCAAAGTTGGGGCTAGGTCGGATTATCTTTTCACTTTCTGTGTAGTAAATTATTTTCTTTGAAAATGTTGACAATTTGTGGGGGAGGTACCACACGGAGTGGACCGATATTGCTCATCTCCGAACTCGATCTACGATGTACCAAGTTTGGTTCAATTCGGATACTCCCTTCGAGATTCATTGTGCGCACCAACCATCCAGAGAGACCTTTGGTATAAACAAGTTATTTCAATGAGGCACGTTGTGGCCGTATTTAATGATATATACCCTCTCTAGCCATATGGCCGAGGTTAGACAATATAGAAGCTATATAAATGTCAGGTGGATCCAAATTAAATATTTTCCCAAAGGATTTCCATTTGAATTCTGAACATTTGGTTTGCTGGGATGTATATGCGAATGTGTGTGTATGCTTCACTCATTTTCTCTGTCTCTGTCTCTCTCTCTCTCTCTCTCTCTCTCTCTCTCGTCATTTATTACAACAACCAAAAACCTTCTTATTGATTGTTTTGAATTTTCTGTTTTCATTAAATAGTAGTTTTCCCATATGGAACCATTTAGTTTTCATTGCTTTTAACGTCATATCCCCCCCCCCCCCCCCCCCCTCTTATCCGTCTCTTTTTTGTTTTTCTTTTCAGAGCCATGTTAACATTGATTACGACCATTTTGTGTGTCGTTTGCTATTGTTGTCATCGCAACATAAAAAAGCGAACCGAAGCTGCCTATCGCCAGCAACGACAGTGGCTGGAAAATGATCCGAATATGGAAATCTACAGTGTCGAACAGGTGAGTGAGTCAATGAGTGGTGGAGGTTAAAAGGTCGGTAGAGTAAAAAAAGACAAAAAAAAAACAAAACATGAATCAAAATCAATAAACAAATCAGAAGAACCGTGAAGGGCACAAAGGACATCTGTTTTGCTAAGAATTTAGGAATTTGGAGATAAAAATATTTTAAATAGGTGTTTTTACCTCGCACCTAGGTTGACATCTTGGGCATACCTGAAATGAAAGAAAATAAATTATTAAAATAGTTACCCAAAAAGAAAGTCTTAATGGCCTAGAAATGGACACCTCTCTTAATTATTGTGACCTAAGTGACCTACATAGAAACATTTTTTCCAAATCCAAAGGGGTCAAGACATTATCCCCACCCCAGGCAGAGATAATAAATCCCAAAATAAGAGCAACAGGATATAAATTAATTTATTCACTCTCACATACTTGTCACATTGTTATGAAGTTTTATGAACCCCTTTGCATTGGGTGCGACAAGTATTTCAGGGAGACGGGACGTTTAGCTTAAATTGCTCCTTCATCAAAAACAAAAAAAAAACACTTGGCTTTTTCCATTTCGAAAAAAAAAACAATTGAGTTGGCCCTTCCATCCTTGGGAAGCCATTTCACTAAAACGAAACGATTTTCCAAATCACAATAAATGTGACACTAAAATGTCGAAACCATGGAGAAAAGGAAACAGAACAGAAAAGAAATGGCCAAAGGACAACGATATTACAATAGCTCTTGGTTTTTCTGCAAAGACACAAAAACGGAAGGAAGTCACCGGCACCCTTATGACAAGTGCAGGCGATAATTTCCATGGGTGCTGTGTGAGCGACGAAGGTGTGTGCGCTCATGTCCTTTCTTGGGCTATAAATCAATTTTCATTTGGAAGAATGCCACCTAAGGAAAGAAAAAAATTGAACAGACCTCCATCGTGGAATTTAAAAAGATCATGCCTTCAAAGTAGGATTTAAAAGATAAACGGAACGAATTTTTTTTTTTTGGGTATTAATAGGCCGCAATAAAAATCAAAACACGAAGCAGAATTTGAAAAGACTTTATTAAAAAAAATGTTAAGGATTTTTTCAATAGATTTCCTAAAGGACCAATAGACCACCAACGTGGGATTTAAAAACAAAACAACATTAAGGATCAATCAGGACTCCAAAGTGGGATTAAAAAAAACTAGGATCAAGATGCGGAATTTTTATTTTATTTACTTATTATTTTTTTTTTTTATTTTTTGATCTTTATATGAACTTTTTAATTTTTTTTGTATAGAATGGAGGGTATATTAAGTTTGTAATTCCGTATGTAACACCTCGAAATACACATTTTAGACCCCACAAAGTATATAGATTTTTGTCCGTCTATCCGTCTGTGAAAATCACTTTAGCTTCCGAACGAATTGAAGTAGATTGATAAAATCTTACTCAAATGTATAATATGTCTGCAGGACTTTTGGTATTGAAAATGGGCCATTTCATGTATTCACTGGAAATGTTTCAAATTTGATATTCAAAGTTCATAATGGATACTACAGCCTAAGACAGAAAATTGTCTGTGCAGGTCCACGCCTTCGTATAGCCCCAATTCAACGGTACCTCCCTATATTCGGAATATTGATGATTTTAGCTACATTATTTGCCGGAATTGTTTCAAATTTGATATTTAAAGTTCATAATGGATACTACAACCTAAGACCGAAAATTATCTGTACAGGTCCACGCCTTCGTATAGCCCCAATACAACGGTACCTCCCGATACTCGGAATTTAGATGATTTTAGCTACATTATTCACCGGGAATGTTTCAAATTTGTTATTTGAAATTCTAAACAGATACTACAGCCTACGACAGAAAATTGTCTGTGCAGGTCCACGCCTTCGTATAGCCCCAATACAACGGTACCTCCCGATATTCGGAATTTTGATGATTTTAGCTACATTATTCACCGGAATATTTTCAAATTTGGTATTCGAAGTTCGTAATGGATAGTACAGCCTACGACAGAGAATTGTCTGTGCAGGTCCACGTCTTCGAATAGCCCCCATATAAACGTACCTCCCGATATTCGGTATTTTGATGATTTTAGCGTCATTATTCAGTGGAAATGTTTCAAATTTGTTATTTGAAATTCGTAACAAATACTACAGTCTACGACAAAAAATTATCTGTGCAGGTACACGTCTTCGAATAGCCCCCATATAAACGTACCTCCCGATATTCGGTATTTTGATGATTTTAGCGACAATATTCACCGGAATTGTTTCAAATTTTCTATTTGAACTTCGTAGTGAACACTGCAGCCTATGACAGAAAATTGTCTGTGCAGGTCCACGTCTTCGTGTAGGCCTCGTATATCAGTACCTCCCTATATTCGGTATTTTGATGATTTTAGCTACATTATTCACCGGAAATGTTTCAAATTTGATATTCAAAGTTCATAATGGATACTACAGCCTATGACAGAAAATTGTCTGTGCAGGTCCATGTCTTCGTATAGCCCCCATATAACGGTACCTCCCAATATTCGGTATTTTGATGATTTTAGCGTCATTATTCATCGGAATTATTTCAAATTAGGTATTTAGAGTTCGTAATGGATACTACAGCCTATGACAGAAAATTGTCTGTGCAGGTCCACGTCTTCGTGTAGGCCTGATATATCAGTACCTCCCTATTTTCGGTATTTTGATGATTTTTGCTACATTATTCAAAGATTTTTATCAAGTTTCGCATTTGAATATTATAATGGCTTATGACAAAAGTTGCCTATGCATATAACGGCTGCATTCGGTATTTTTAAGATTTTAACAGATTTTTTAACGGATTTTTTTTTTTGAAAATTCGACCCATTGGTGTAGAGTATACAAAGTTCGACCCGGCCAAACTTACAGCTTTTTTACTTGTATAACTTAATTTTAAAAATTTGCAAATATATATTTTTTTCTTCAAGACAAAATTTTACATTTTTTTCTAAATTTTAAACATTTTTAATTTCTGGAAAACCAATTCTAAATTTTTAAGAAATTTCAAAGAGTTGGTTTTTAAAACCTTTTTTTTAACATGATTTTAAAGTTTTTCGTATATATTTTAACCAAATTTTACATTTTTTCGAAATGTTAAAAAATGTCTAATATTTGATCATAGTTTAATTTCAAATTTAAATTTCTAAAATATTTTTTATGAATAAATTTGGAAATTGTTTTTCAAAAGTTTGTGAATATTTTTTCAACAACACTAAACTTCCATTAAAAACAGAAGATATTTTTCTGATTTTTAGTTATTTAATTCGACCATTATTATTATTTTTCGAACTAAATATTTTTTTTAAAACCAAATTTTTTCAAAAGATTGAAAAACAAACGAAACGTAGCTTCTTTCTTTCTTAATTTAGTTTTGTTTTTCTAATTCAATTTTTATATATTTTTTTAAAAAAATCACATTTTTAAAATTCACATTTTTTTCGAAAGATTGATTTAAACAACGAATCAAATATATTTTCCGTGAGTTTTTTTTTTTTTTTAGGTAACTAAATGTGGATTATTTTTTAATGGCATTAATATTTCACTCTCACTCTCTCACTCTCTCTCTCTATTTTTTCTTTTCTCTTGCAGTGCTATGAAACCTCTGGCCTCTTTGTGGGCGATTCTATGGACGGCCTCGCCACCATACCGGCCCTGCACCACGAACCGCCACCATCTTACGATGCGGTTGTGGCCATGCAGGAGCAACAGCATTTGCTTATGCAACAACAACAACAGCAATTGTTAATGCAACAGTTACAAAATAATTCGCCCCCGCCCGGCTATCGGTCTTCGCTGGATGTCAGTTGCATGCTGGCCGCACGTACCGCCAGTTTGACACCAGCCCTCTCGGCCATGGGTTCCACGGAAACCAACAACTCCTTGGCTGTTGCCAATGCCACCACTAGTTCTTCGTTGAATGTCAGAGGTGGTCTAATTCGTACGCCACCCGATAATGATCGGGATGTTGTTGTTGTTGCAGCCACAACATCGGCTGGCAGTGGTCATTTGCAACAGGCGGCCACATTTTTGCGTTCCTCCGTGGCCTTGGGGGGCAAGCAGCAGCAGCAGCAAAGGCAGCAACGTCAAATGACCGCTGGCAATTTGGCCAGCTTCAATATGAAGAAGGTCTTGCAGGCCCAATCATGCTGTTCCCTGCAAAGAGCTGAAGTTGAAAACATGTGGAATGCCGCGGCAGCGGCTTTGGCAGCCAGATCCAGTCATGTGGCCAGCAATGCTGGCGGTGGCGGCGGCGGCGGAGGCTCTGCCGTCGTTGTGGCCACCAGTTCGCCCACCCTGGTGATGAGCAACCGCAAAATATCAAACACTCCCGAAACGTTTGGCAGCCGTTATTTGAAACAACAACAACAGCAGCAGCAGCAACAACAACCGAACTATTATCGGCGTGGTTGTCCGCTGTGTGGAAAATTCCGCTATGAATCGAATCTCTCCATATCGATGGAAAGCGATTTGGATAATGTTGATGAGGGTGAGGCGACAGAGCCGGAGGCTGGAGGTGTGGATGAGGAGGGCAATTTGGAGCTGGATTATAATGCGGGAAAAAATGTCGCCTTGGAAGAGCATGAGCAGCCTGATGACGAAGATGAGTGTTCCTGTGTAAATGCCTCAATTCGAAGAGCACGCATGTCAAAAGAGAAGGGCACCAACCAAAGGGATAATTACAATAACAACGACAACAACAACTTCGGATTATCAACAGCAGGTAATTTCCCGGAAAATATCGAGCTATTGCCAGTGGTGGCAGAGGATGTAAATGCCAATGACCATGCCAAGGACTTGGCGCCAACCAGTTCTGTCAATGGCCAAAATGACAACAACAACAACAACCATACTAATAACAACTCTGACAACAATAATTCGGACACTCCGTTGGAGGAAGCACCCACTTGCTCCCATCAATCGTCCAATCAATTGACACCCAGTCCCATAATGGAACCGGCAGCAACAACAACAACGACAACCAACAGCTCACCCACGGCCTCCTCGACCAGGTCCATAACCATCGATCTGAACTGCATCAATGAGAATGGCATTATCAGTCTGGACATGAGTAAAATTATCGACAAAACGGGCCTACCCACCTATGATGCGGCCCTGAAATTGGAATCCAGTGGCTATGTCTGATGCTGAGCTAATCTGCCCAAAAAACAACCACAACAACAGCAGCAACAGCAAAACTATTCCCGAACACACAAGTGCTTTATAGATTTAAACAATGGAAATGAAATGAAGACCTGTAAATAAAAACAAAAACATAAAACGTTCCAGTCCAGTTGTTGGTGGTTTAGTTTTCCGCACGGGGAGCATGGGATTGAAAGGGTGTGCTTTAGAGTGTTTCAAAAATGTCATTCAAATCTAATATATTCCAATGTTTCGATTGAAACTTTGAGCAAAAATCGAAGATTGGTCAGCTTCTTTTTAGCACCTCTCCCCATATGAAGTCAAAGTTCGCTCAAAAATTGCATTATTACTATTATTATTTATTTAATTTTCATATTTTTTCCAAACCAAACATGATTTTTATACCCTCCACCATACTATGGAGGGTATATTAATTTTGTCATTCCGTTTGTAACTTTTCGAAATACTCATGTCAGACCCAACAAAGTATATATATTCGTGATCAGCGTAAAATTCTAAGACGATTTAGCCATGTCCGTCTGTCTGTCTGTCTGTCTGTCCGTCTCTCTGTTGTAATCTCGCTATCTTTCAAACAAATTGAGATAGAAGGCTAAAATTTTGCACACATGTATATTTTGCCAGTAGGCAGGTTAAGTTCGTAAATGGGCCATGTAGGTCCAAGTTATCATATAGCCCCCATATAACGGTACCTACCGATATTCGGTATTTTGATGATTTTAGCGACATTATTCACCGGAATTGTTTCAAATTTGGCATTTGAAGTTCGTAATGGATATTACATCCTAAGTCAAAAAATCAGTCATGTAGGTTCACGTCTTCGTACAGCCCCCATAAAACGGTACCTTCCGATATTCGGTATTTTCATGATTTTAGTTACATTATTTAACGGAATCTTTCCAAATTTTGTATTTGAAATTCGTAATAGATACTGCAGCATAATACAGAAAATGGGCAATGTAGGTCCACGTCTTCATATAGCCCCCATGTAACGGTGCCTCCAGATATTCAGTTTTTTGATGATTTTAGTCATGTTATTCACAGGAAATATTTCAAGTTTGGTATTTAAAGTTCGTAACGGATACTACAGCCTGAGACAAAAAATTGTCTGTGCTGGTCCACGTCTTCGTATAGCCCCCATATAATGGTACCACCTATATTCGGTATTTTGATGATTTTAGCTACATCATAAATAGATTTTTCTTCAAGTTTCGCATTTAAATATTGTGATAACTTATGACAAAAGTTGCCTATGCAGGCCCACGTCGTCGTATAAGCATTCGGTATATTTAAGATTTTAACAGAATTTTTAACGGATTTTATTTATTTTTGTTTTTGGAAATTGCCAAATTTGTACCAAATGGTGGAAGGTATTAAAAGTTCGGCCCGGCCGAACTTACAGCTTTTTTACTTGTTTTCTTTCGCGGCTAAATTTTGAAAATATTTGTTTTCCATTTTGAATTTTTGTAAATATTTTTTTTTTTTTTTTTTGGAGGTTATTATAACTTTGATTGGGCCAAAAATTATGTAACACCTCGAAATATTGGTTTCCCACATAGGAAAGAGGAATGATATGGATCTTCCTATCTCGCCGAGCTGTGTCGATCTAGCTATGTATGTCCATCCGTCCGTCTGTTCATGTTAATTTGTAATCACGCCGCAGCTCACAATTATGGCCCGATTATCACGAAATTGAAAATGGAGGTAGAGATAAGGTCAGACTAGAACCCTATTGCTTTTGGAGATTATCGCATAATATTTAGGGATTGAAATGGACCAAAAACTGAAAAATTTCCTGATTTTGCAGTTGCACTCCAGGTGGCAATTATAGACCAATCGAAGCGGAAGTTAGCATGGGGCTAGAGCTTTGGGCTGGGCAGAAACCTTCCAATTTTGATGGTCATCGGGTAATATTTAGTGGGTGAAATTGACCCACCCAACGGCGAATATTTTTAATCCCCGCGAAATCATAAATAGACGAACAGGTCAGTTCTGACCATTATGTAGATGCCGATAATAAATATATCGGATATATATATATATATAGCCAAATATATATATAATGTTTATATACAAAGGAAGGAGATGTTAGTTAAAATGCTTGTTTCCCAAGAATGGCTGCACCGATTTTGGCAAATTTTGTCAATTCAGTATATGTTTTATCCGATTTGGTGTTTAAGTCCCTCACATTCGTAATATGCATTCGTAGTATCCATTCTTGGGTGGCACATGCTGAGTGCGATGGTGCTGAGTCTTTTTGGAATATCTGCGGCCAAAATGTTTGCTTGCCCAAGGCTTTAATACACCCTCCAGAATATTTTCGCGATAATATTAGGCATTTATTTTGATGCCACATTCGCTCAATACGAGCGGAGAGCCACCATCGGCTGTTATGGCGGCCAACACCATCACCGACCCACACCGGCCGGCGCTTGAGTTCTGGTGGCACATTTTCAGCTGACTTCTTTGGCAAGTAAACACGATCTTTTTTGTTTGTTTACAAACTGCTGGACAACGAATGTTTTTTCATCGGAGCGGAGAAAACCAAATTCGGCAGTCCACCACTTTCGGCCAAGCCAAGCAACTCTTTAACTCTTTTGAGTCTATTTTCTTTTTGTTGCGGTGTAAGTTCTTGAACTTTTTGGAATTTGAATGGCTTTATCCCGAGCTCAGTTTTCAATATTTGCCGAATGGAAAATTGCGATATGTTCAGCTCACGAGCCATTTTTCGACCACTGCGACTCGGGTTTCGATCAAGTCGCTTCTTTACTTTTCGAACCATTGCTGTTGATGTTGCTGTTTCCTTCCGTCCACTTCCTTGACATATGTCGGGCTACGCTACAAGTATCACGTTATCGGTAACGAGCGATGGTACGAGACACAAAAGATTTATTCACATTTAAATGCTGGAGTGCTCTAACGATACTCACTTGTGGTTTTCCAGCCAAATATAAAGAAATCACACTATCACGACGCTTGAAATCCATCACGAATAACTATTTTTCTGAAAAATTCTCACCAAATGCTATAACTGGAATAATTTTAGCAGCTGTCGGACGAGTGGCTGAGAAATGACAGCAGTCTGAAGTTGGTTGCAGTTTTTTCATCTCACCCTGTACAATAGCCAGACGGACATCGCTAGATCGCCTTAGAATTTTACGCTGATCCCGAATATATATTATTTTTTAGGGTTTATTGTAAATTATTCGAGGAGTTACAAACGAAATGACAAAGTTAATGTACCCTCCATAGATGTCCGTCAAGATAAATTTAAATTTAATTAGCAAAGACGCAAACCAAGGTGATTTTTTCTCCGGTTCACAGAGGGTTAATAAAGAGAGAGAGAAAGAGAGAGAGGGAGTAGTAAACCAGAGAAAATTAAAGGTAAACTAAATTATATTAGTTTTCATCAAATATCATAATTTTCCCTACAAATTTCAATTTTAAAATGAAACCGCTAAATAAAAACCTAATTAAAATTTACGTTGATAAACTTTGAAACCCTTAACTCTACATTTAAACCGAGAATAAAATATTTAAAAAATGAAGCGGTGTCGAGGCTGGGTACAAATGAAAGGTCTCGAGGAGTACTTTCCAAATCTGTCGACCTTATAGTCAAAAAGAATTTCAGACTTAGGAATTGTTTGCATTTTCTGAAGAACTATAGCTCATGTTTAGGGAAATTGCAGATAAAGGCTTCCACAGAACAGAAACTAAAAATGAAGCGGTGTCGAGAATTATCGCTCAATTTTAGGGAATTTTAGGGAAACTCCTCGAGACCTTTCATTTGTACACAGCCTCGACACCGCTTCATTTTTAGTTTCTGTTCTGTGAAAGCCTTTATCTGCAATTTCCCTAAACATGAGCTATAGTTCTTCAGAAAATGCAAACAATTCCTAAGTCTGAAATTCTTTTTGACTATAAGGTCGACAGATTTGGAAAGTACTCCTCGAGACCTTTCATTTGTACCCAGCCTCGACACCGCTTCATTTTTAGTTTCTGTTCTGTGGACGCTTTTATCTGCAATTTCCCTAAAATCGAGCGATAATTCTTCAGAAAATGCAAAAAATTCCTAAGTCTGAAATTCTTTTTGACTATAAGGTCCATATATTCGGAAAGTACTCCTCGAGACCTTTCATTTGTGCCCAGCCACGACACCGCTTCATTTTAAATATTTTATTCTCGGTTTAAATGTAGAGTTAAGGGTTTCAAAGTTTATCAACGTAAATTTTAATTAGGTTTTTATTTAGCGGTTTCATTTTAAATTTGAAATTTGTACGGAAAATTATGAAATTTGATGAAAACTAATATAATTTAATTTACCTTTAATTTTTCTCTGGTTTACTACTCCCTCTCTCTCTCTTTATTAACCCTTTGCGAACCGGAGAAAAAATCACCTTGGTTTGTGTCTTTGCTAATTAAATTTAAATTTATCTTGACGGACATCCTGCACACAAACATTTTTGTCATAGGCTGTAGTAGCCTTTACGAACTTCAAATACGAAACTTTAAATAATTCCGGTAAATAATGTCGCTAAAGTCATGAAAATACCAAATATCGGGAGGTACCGTTATATGGGGACTATACCAAAACGTGGGCCGATATATCTCATTTTCAATACCAACCATCCTAGACACAACACAAATTGGTCTGCTAAATTTTGGCGCTCTACGTCAAATAATGTGGGCTGTATCGTGATTTCAACAGATAGACGGATAGACAGACAGACGGACATCGTTAAATCGACTTAGAATTTTATGCTGATCCAGAACTCTTTGTGAGTACTTTACCAGGTGGAAGAGAATTGTTTAAATAGGTCCACGATATCGTATGGCACCCATTTAACGGTACCTACCGATATTCAGTATTTTCATGATTGTAGCTGCATTTTTTTATGGAACTGTCTGAAATTACACACAAGGAGTTCCTTCTGAGTACTTTAGCCCCTGGAAGAGAATTGTCTATATAGGTTCACGATAACGCATAGCCCCCATATAACTGTACCTCCGTATAATCGGTATTTTGATGATTTAAGCGACATTTTTGACCGGAATTGTTTCAAATTTCGTATTTAAAGTCGTAACGAGTACTACAACCCATGCCAGAAGATTGTCTATGCAGGTCCACGTCTT